ATCCCAAACCAGTCTTCATGGGATGTTGCAGATGTACAATGGTCTCCGTTCGCGGCACGCGCCGAATGGATCGCGTCGACGCGAAATCAGCTTGCGCTTGTATACAATCTCTCCATGCCTTACAACAACAACAAAGCGCCCATCGAATATACCCTGCGCGCACATGACCGAGCTATAACAGACATCAACTTCTCCGCGCATCATCCAGACCTCTTGGCAACTTGTGGTGTTGACAGCTTCGTCTTCGTCCACGATCTTCGCAGCCAAAAGGCGCCACTGAAGCTTGCCGATTATACCGCAGGAGCCACCCAAGTGAAATGGAACCGCCAAAACGACAAGATTATCGCAAGTGCTCACGACAAATACCTTCACATCTGGGATACTCGTCATGGAGCCAACCCTCTTTCTACCATTACTGCGCACACGACCAAGATTTACGGCATTGACTGGAACCGCAACGATGCGAATAAGATCATGACCTGCTCACTCGACGCGACTATCAAACTTTGGAACAACGTAGGTTTGAAAGACAATATAACCGTTCCTCGCCGCGTTATTCGCACTGATTACCCTGTGTGGCGAGCGCGACATACGCCCTTTCCACATGGCATTCTCGCCATGCCACAACGTGGCAACTCCTCTCTCTGGCTATACAAACACGTTGATGGTAGCGATCCTTCGACCTTTACCAACAATCATGCTACAGAATTCCCCGAGCACGGCGAGCATGGCCCTGCCCAAGTTCGTGAATTCCTCTGGCGCACGCGTGGCTCTACCGATGACGGATTCGACAACCGGGACTTTCAGTTGGTTTCTTATGGTACTGACAGGCGACTCATACTTCACCGTCTTTCTACAGAAGATTTGGAAGCGTGGGTCGGTCACCGTAAAGGCGAGCCACTTGTCGAACAGCCCAGCAGGACGCGAAAAGGTGCAACGTATGTTTCATATCGCGATGGACCTATTCCTACTACCACTAGTACAACCACTCAGGACGAATTCGGCCCACCTCGCAGACAACGTAAAGGCAACCTTTCCACTCTCCTCCAGAACTACTCACTGAAAGAGGACGCTTACGCTCCGCGCTACCATGACCGAATGCATCCTCGGATTCAACATGAGACAATTCCGCGAGAAACCATGACGGCTCGCCCGATTCGGCGACATGATCCACGTGTAGTCAATCACATGAAGTGGATTAATGGCATCAAATTCGGGAGCGACGGTCACAACGATATCAATGACCTCCAAGCTCCCCCCAACCATCACGACCGTAATAAGAAGCAGCCATTTCAGGAGCAGAACGACCTTGGTGCAGAGATTGCTTTGGTAGGCCACAAGTACAAGAAGCTTGCTTTTGAAGAAATCGATATTCCCCGGCGACGCATCAAGGTCTCCTTCAGCGGTCCATGGGGTGATTGGGATGCAGTCACAAACGAACCCAGATTAGTGTTTCTTCGCTTCACAATCAACTTCCCAGTTTCCTACCCGAGGGCAATCAAAAGGGAAGAGTCGGGCTCCGTTCTTAGCAGGATATCGAGTCCTTTGCATATTGAGTTTGAGAGGACGACAGCGGCGATTAGCAAAGAAACCCAAGATGAATTAACGAACAACATGCACCGCATTGCGGAAACCTGCGCAGACCAACAGCGAGAGGGCCTGGAAGCAGTCCTATCGTATGCGTTGGGTGAACGAGCTTTGGACGACAGCCTAGATCTAGCCGAAGATGACGACGCGCTCGCAGACCTTGGACCACTGCCTGGCGAGAGCTCTAGTGAGGATGAAGACCAGGAGGGCGAGTTCACTGATGACGTCATGCAGTCATCCCATACTAACGCCAACATACCTCTGCCGGTTCAGTGTACTGCACGATTCTCGGTAGATGGATCCCTTGTAGTCGCAAGGATACCCGTAGCAAAATCTATGCCTGGCGCAGATACCTTCAGATTCCAGATTACCAGGAATCTTAGACAGGGTGTTTCGAAGAATGACATCTTCGACTCGTTCGGCCGCTTCACAAATCGTCATCCGGGAGCCTCCGATGGCGCGTCGTCGCCATCCTCCTCCGTTGGATCATGGGAAACATCCTCCACCCTATCTTCATCGTCCGACTCCCACCATGCAGGAAATTCGCATATAGGCAACTTCCAGCCACCGCTTGCTTGGCAAAAATCGGCATCCCGCTTCCAATCGCGAAACTCTATACCCTCCTCCACTGGTGGAGGAAAACAGACGACTAAACCTAAGTCGACGGTGTCAATACTATTTTCTGCCACAGAGGATCTGGTACCCAGTAAACGTGAACTCGCGGAGGAATACAGGATCTTTGGACCTGGACCAGTGATATGCGAGCACAATTCCGAAGTAGCTCGGAAGTATGGCTTCGATGATCTCGCGGATATTTGGATTCTTTGCAAACTGATTTTGAGTAATGAGGTACCCTTGGAAATACTACCTCAAAAGTACCGGAGGGACCAGGTCCTTGTGCTCGCCCGAAGAGCTCTTGTGAGAATCAAACGCAAGGACAGTGGGTTGGACTTACAATTCGACGAGGCAGATACCGTGGCCAATCCTAAGCTCAAAGCTCGCGTAAAATGGGGACATCACATTGTCGTCACGTGGTTGATACCATCGCTTTTCGACCACTTCGAACGCCTAGCAGATACCCAGATGCTTGCTATGCTGTCGTGTATCTTTGCAGAACCTGCTGCTCGCGAAGGTGTCACTTCAGCTATGGCCAAGATGCGACAATCCCAGCTGCCTATGTCCATGGAAGCACCAGCGTTTTCATTAGACTACTTCCCTTCAGTGGATGCTGCGTGGAGCTTGTTCCAGCCCACGATTTCTGTTCCATCTACGCCATCGCAATCGCGTTTTGCAACGCCGGCCAACGAGTTTGCTTGGCAAAGACTGGCCAAGAATTTCGATACGTACGGCAGCCATGGAAGCTCAAATGGCCCGTGGGGCAGCGACCATGTCAGCTCCGATCCTGTTACGCCATACTCTACTGGTAACACGCCTCCCGCCTTGTCCAGGGCGTCTACAATGAGGAGTGCGCAGACGGCTAATCACACACCGTACGGAACATCGCCAGAGCAAAGTCACACGGCGCATAAAAAAAGCTCCACTGCAAATTTCGCAAGTGCTGTTGCTGCATTGTCGCGTCCTTTTGCGAACGCAATGTCCTCTTCGCCTCCAGTAAGGTCACGCATGGACGATCTCTCAACTTCAGCACCCACCAGTGGTGTTACTTGGGGCACAACCACATTCTATGGAAGCGACTCCCATGATCAGAACAATCTCTCAACCTCACGCTCAAAGCACGGCAAGCGAGCAAGCTTCGGGCAGTCAGAGCAAGTCAATATCAACTACATAGAGGATTCGGATTCTGACTACGAGAGAGTCGAGGATGACGGTGGCGACAGACTGGCGAACTCAAAAGAAAGTGGCGCATTTGACAAACCTAAAGATGGTGTCAGTAACAGAGGGGGCATCAAGGTCACGCTCAAGAACCAAGATCAGTTCGATGATGAGGCATGTTTCAGTAGGCCACTACTGGACACAAGTAAAGACTGGTTACATCGGGCTTGGCGCGAGCAGTATGCTGAGATGCTGAGCCGCTGGGGTTTGGTCAGCATACGGGCCGAAGTACTAAAGTTCAACGGCCTTGTGTCATACTTCCCAGCTGAACCTCCTCGTACCGGCCTCAAACATGGCTCAGTATCGCTCGCACTAAAGACATCCGCCGACGAAAGCGGCGATGAAAAGACATCAAGACATCTATCTCGAGCTTCATCAACACTGGTTCCTCCAACACCCACCACATCGCAGATGAAGCGCACACCGGGCGCATCACCTTTCCACTTCTCCTTCAACCCCGAAGCAATGGAGTTCCAACCTGGAACGATATCTGGCAATATATCAGCAGAAGGTCTACCGTCTTTCAACACACTCATTCCAACAGAGCAGTATCTCCAGCTTTCAATACCCGTCCCAACCCCAACGAAGGAGCTAGACGAGAGTGTTGCCGGCCTCGACACGTCGCCCGGCCAGAACCGACTACAGCCTCCACCCAGCAGAGCGAGCCGACCCAGCCTTTCACGGGGCACATCAACCGTATCAGCCGGTTCGTCATGGCGTGACGGACGCTCGCGCACCAACCTCACCACTACATCCTCCAAGCCCATCAAAATAGAGCCCGTGTACAGTTGCAGTATCTGCTGGATCCGCGTCTCAGGCCTGTTCCACCTCTGCCCCTCATGCGGACACGTCGCGCACATGGACTGCATGGACGACGAGATTGGCATGGAAGACAGTGAATGCGTAGTCGGCTGCGGATGCGGCTGCGGCCTCGAAAACGACGATGAGCGAAGCAGAATGGAAGCCTACATTGAAGGTGTACGCGCGGCGAACGCTGCTGGTATCGCATGGGAAGAGGGCAGCGAGTGGTTACCCAGCGGCACTACAACGCCTGCTCTGTATGCTGGAAGCGCCTATGGTGACTTCATGACGGGCGGTGCGAGTAAAATGGCGGGTATGAATGGTGGCGAGGAGAAGAGGAAGGAGAGGTTGGGTGGGCGCAGTAATGTGGTTAGTCCTACGCCGGCTAAGAAGAAGAAAGGGAAGAAGAAGGTGAGGGCTTCGGGGTTGAGCTACTATTGACTGTAGGACTACGAGAGGAGATACCCTTTTCATTTCTTTTCCGTTAGTATCCGGCATTCTAGGCATCATGGCTATTCTGGCGTTTGTGTATTGCGCGGCTGTCCATTGACGGCCCATGTACAATCTGGTAATGTAATTCTAGCTGCATTCTGCTCAACTGACCTTGTGCGACCGTACTCTACCCCGCGCCCCTCTGGTACCCTCCACCTTCACTTCTCCCCCGCTTACACATTCGGTTCTCCTCTGGGACACCACGCGCTCAAATTTTCTTCTTCGGAGGATACTATTTAGATATCTTTTTTATCACTTACCACGCCATAAACATCCTCAAGCTTTTCATGGGTTTCTTCGACAACGCTTGGAAGGCCTTGGACGGCTTTGGACAGGAAGCTGGAAAGCACGTGGGTCACGTCGCGCAGGAGACCTGGAAACACCTCGACGCTTTCGGTCAAGACGTTGGACCAAAGATCGGCCCTGCTCTCGGAGAAACCTGGAAACACATGGACGCCTTCGGTCAAGAGACTGGAAAGCACGTCGGTCACGTCACGCACGAGACCTGGAAACACCTCGACGCTTTCGGACAAGATGTAGGACCAAAGGTCGGCCCTGCTCTGGAGGAAGCCTGGAAGCATGCGGATGCTTTTGGTCAAGAGGCTGGAAAGCATGTTGGCATCGCGGCAGAACACACCAAGCAATGGATTGAGGAGCATCCGGGAGAGACCGCTGGTATGATCGCCTGTGTCGTCGCTGCTCCTCTCGGTATCGGGGTTGCGCACGGCGTCCTACGTATGGTGGGTTTCACGGCCAAGGGAATTGCTGTTGGTACGTGACAATCTCTTTGTCTTTTATGTCACGCACCCGACTGACAGAATTATAGGATCTGCCGCTGCTGCAGCTCAATCTGATATCGGAAACGTTGCAGCTGGAAGCGCTTTTGCGGTTCTCCAAAGCGCAGCAGCGGGCGGCAGTGGTGCTATACTCGTCAACGGCGTCGCCGCGGGCACAGTCACCGCGGTTGCTATCGCTGCTACGGCTCCTGGACTCATCAAAGCTATACAGGAAGGCAAGAACGAAGTCACTGTCGATGGTATCACGTACGAGATCGAGGACAAAGGAGAGGTAGAGTCCTCGCCACCAGATCAGTAGAGTGGCTGTGGGCTCAGATGGTGATTGAAGAGTGTGAAGATGCTTGGGCACTACATGTCGCTTGAGACTCACACCGCATGTTTCTTTCTTGTGAAGGACGACGTAGAAATACGCAAAAGCTTAGCCTCCTACTGTCTTGTGTCTTCTGTGCGCAGTGCAACCGAAAGAGGCCGGCTCCAAGTAGGTCTGGTCTAGACTCCCTGACGTAAAGTTCCCAAAGCGAGTACATTCCTACTGCGTGCTCCACGGGATCTCCCACGGCTTTGCGTCGCTCCCGAAACAAGGCTGAGCCGTTCGTGGAGCGGTTCACGGCCGGCTGCAAGGGTTCCGAATGCGGATAGCGTCGATGAATGGGCCTGCACCACGATCCCAGCCAACGGCTAATACCAACTGTCAGCCGTCGCACAATATACTGGACTCGAGTAGCTACCGGCGCATATCACTGAGCACAAAGCCTTGATGAAGAAAATTCGCGATTGCGCAGAGTCAAGAAAGATGCTGCAACCGGACCCCACGCGTGATTCGCGAACCCGATAGGTAAGGCGCTAATGACTAGCCGTGCATCTCCCCAGCTTCTTCTCCACTTTAGATACTGCTGCCTTCCTGCTTATCTACCAAACCTCCGGTGATTCTTCTCGCTTCTGCGTAGCTAGTCAATTGTTGTTTTGCATATGATATCTCGGGCCGCCGACAAGTTCGCCCAGCGACCGAACGCTCGCACCTTCCGCGGCAGATGGCTGAGGCTATCACTGTTTCGTCATCCTCATCTGTGCTGAGATCATCCGACACTGCTCCGATCGACGTCAAGCCCGCTAAGCAGGTGTCATCTGCATCATGTTCCGCGAAGAAGAAGGCAACCAAAACTTCCGATACCTCTGGCGTCACCAAGAGGAAGCAGTCCAAGAGCCGTAATGGTATGCTTCCACTTGTCAACTCTTATCGCTCACACGATAAGCGTAACTCGACCTGTTTCCACCTGTGACTATGCTGACCTGTGTATAGGATGCGTTTCCTGCAAGGCGAAGCGCTTGAAATGTGACGAAAGACATCCTTCATGCAAGCAATGCGAGAGACGTGCAATAACCTGCGGCGGTTACGCCAAAGATTACAAATGGAAGCACTACGACGAGTTGAACACTACAAGCAAAGCGCCCATCAATCCACGTCAAGGTTAGTCTTGACACAGCCATACTGATACGCATCTGACAGGCTTAGGCCCGACCCTCCAAACGCCAACAGCTGTGTCTTCGCAATTTCAGGGACAGTACGGTCTTCAGGAGTACCGATGCACCTTCGGGAACCCGCCCCACCCTGGCGTATACTACTCGCCGCAACAACACTCATACCCTTTCATGCATGGTCCGCCCATACAAGCAGCCTTTCCACATCCTCCCTTGGCGCCTATGGAAAACTTGCTCACCGTCCCGGCGACATCGCCATTCATCATCTCTCAGTCAATATCACCAGTGGAGTCATATGCGCCAGGTTCTTTCGAGCCATTTGGCGTAATTGGAGCCGAAAGTACGACTACTGTGCGGGCCAATACGAACACTGACTCAAGCCTTTCGTCAGGCCAATCTCCCCGAATAGTAGACCTCCTACTCCCAGGAACAGATCTAAATGTGCCACCGGAGGAGTACTCTTCCTTTGTGTCTCAGCATGAGGCTTTCTATCAGCCCTCTGGTATGACGCCGCCAGCGCCATTGGATGACGATGTCGATGAAGAAGTTGTACGCGATAAAATTGATGAGTCTGCAGCTTGCGTGATGTGGCTACCATCGCCCGCGACACCAAGCTCATCAGGCTCTTCCTCAAATTCTCCCGACTTCAAGATCCCGGCCCAGTTGCAGTTGTCTATGACATCGGCGGAGTCACTCACACGGCGTTATCATAGGGACACGTGCGGTGTACTGTCATTGAAGGACGGGCCTACAGAGAACCCATGGCGGACTCTCATCTGGCCTCTAACGAGGAATTGTCCCGCACTCTATCATGCCATCGCATCGATGACCTCCTTCCATCAGGCAAGAGATATGCCTACTTTGCGCATACAGGGTATAGATCATATGCGGAGCGCCGTACATGCATTGGCTGCTGGACTTCAAAACATGCGTGTCGACGCAGCTATATCGACTACACTTGTTCTGGCCTTTGCCGAATCTTGGGACCAGCATATCAGTACCGGCATCAACCACATCAAAGGAGCTAAGATCTTGATCAATCAAGCACTCATGAACCATCGTCTCATGCCAAAGCAAGGCGAAGAATGGGCTCGGCTGAAGTTTCTTTGCAACACTTGGATTTACATGGACGTTCTTGCTCGCCTTACTTCTGCTGACGAAGACGACGCATACGATGTCGACAATGTGAGAGAAAGCATATATGCTGCTGGAGACACCGACTCTACTCTTGACCCGTTGATGGGCTGCGCGCACACGCTTTTCCCTATCATTGGCCGGGTCGCCAATCTGGTGAGGAAAGTGCGGAGATCCGATAGCAACGGACCCACCATCATATCGCAAGCAGTGCAATTGAAATCTCAACTCGAGGAATGGACCCCGCCTTCTCACATTGAAGAACCAGAAGATGAGACAACAAGTCCGCAAGATGCTATCAAGACTGCGATTGCTTATCAATACGCAACACTGCTCTATCTTTACCAAGCCGTACCCGAGGTTCCATCCCAGCCACCCAGCGTGCTCGCAAACAAGGTACTGTGCGCCTTGGCCACCGTTCATCCGCGCTCACGTTCGATCATCGTGCATATCTATCCTCTGATGGCCGCTGGCTGTGAGATGACTGACCCAGATGATCGGAAATGGGTCAAAGATCGCTGGTCTCTGATGTCTACCAGAATGAAATTGGGGATCATAGAGCGATGTTTGGAGGTCACAAAAGAAGTCTGGAACCGACGCGACAATCATGCGCTTGAGCGTACAACCATAAATATGGAGCACTTGCGCAGCGACAGCTTCTCATCAGACGCATCCATTATCTGCGAGAACGATGCCTATCCTGATGATTACGACGTCGATCGCGACTTCGGTTCACGAGAAACACCGTACGGGATGCCGATACCGTCTGGTACCACAGACTCCCAGGATTCGGGAGTAACAGTCAAAAGCCGCTTGCATTGGTTGAGTGTCATGAAGGAGTGGGAATGGGAGGTCCTCCTCGGTTGAACCACAACCAGGCCTCCAATCACGTTTCTGCATTCACCAGCCATTCCAGCAGATCTTACATATGTCGTTCTCTCTTCGGAGATTTCATGTTCGCATTCCAAGGTCGGGTTTGCTTCGTAATGCCTGTTTTTGGAGTTGGCGTTGCGAGGTACAGGGAGCGAAACTAGCCATATCGCTCAACAATGTCCAGAATTAGGCTCAAACCGCATTCAATCACGAACCAAAAGGTACACTCGGAGGACTCACATCTTACGCTCCAGCACGGCATTGAGGCACTCAATGCTTCCAGCATATTACCATAATACATATCGACCTTACTTCAATGGAGCTGCATTAGCATCACACTGGGTCGTCCTTTTGGCGATAAGAAGTCAGTCCACCAACTCTCAGATATCAACGATTGTACTTCGTTTCAAAATGGCCCAATTGAGCTCACCGGTCTTGTGCGCTCAAACGATCGCACATGCGTCACCTGGGCGACCAGTATCAACGTGCGCGCACGACATACACTGCGTATTCCCCTCGAGGTGGCTTGCACGTTGATAAACTGTTCGAAATTAAGGCACGTCATTATAGGCTACAGTACTATAGTCATGAATACACGGGCTGTCAGATAGCAGCCACAGACTGTAGTGCCTGCTGTCAGAGCAGCCAACCGCCTTACAGCGCAGACGTGCTACAGAACGCATGACCCGTGCTTGGAAGACCGATGATAGAGTTTGCAGACATATCCAATGCAACTAGAGTTGGCTCAGTACGTCGATCATGCGACTTATCACATCCTACCGCAAGGTCCCGTCTGTGGCTTGCATTCCAAGTCGTCGTCATCCATGTCAGTCCTCCACCCAAGGAAGCTAGTAAGCTGCAGCCGTCCGATACTCAGCGGGCGTCTACATGAGCAACAAAGCTACCGTGATCCCGTGATCATGTTGATCAGGCATGCGCCGCCAGGGTCGAGTATTGGGCCGTTGCGCAAACAAGGTACAGCTCGGCCGATGTAACGTTGGATGCTTTCGGTATTCTCGCCTCGACTGCCGCGACGACCAAGCGCCAGACAGTAGGTATGACGGAAGAGCGGACTGAAGATACCGCATGACACTATCGTAATTCGAGACAGTTTCTCGGAACACACAGATCAGTGGCCTCCGATTGTGTCTCGCCACAAAACAATCCCACATCAAACAAGGGTCTTAGCACCCCAACCAAGCAAGCCAACTCAACCGATCCAGTTACACTACCACCTAAGACACATGCGTCATGGCCAGGTCATTGATACCATTCAAATAAGGCAAACGAGGCAAATAATCTTCCATGGGTGCAGTACCCGTCGTCAATTCTTACTCTGTTCGGAATACCCTGCAGCATGCACATCATCAGCGCACCTACTCGGCAAAAGAGCCGAATGAGCACAAAGACGGCGGAAACATACATCCTAGCATTAGCCATATATGCAGGTACATTCTGTTTCGGAGTCTCGGAGACCAAAGAAGGACGATGACACAGCAAAGACAGGCGCCTGACAGCCCACTACATGTGCCACGAAACACCAACACCAACAGGCATCAACCTAGTCGACCACGCTATTGTAGTTTTTGAGCGACTCAACAGCGACATAGGCGTTTGTATGTAATGTGCCTGAGGAGCATTATTGGTGGCGTCCAGCACAGAACAAGGATTGACCCAACAGCAGTACATGACGGATCATGTGACTACGCGATACATTGGTGGCGTCTTTCGCCTTACGTGACACCTCGGAGTCATCTTGTTGGGAAGTGAACAGGAGGCGCAGCGGACTGACGTCGAGGGTGTTACTGTGAAGTGTGCTACGGATGTTGCAGCATGGACAAGCGGGGCTTTGATGGAAGCTGCTAGCGTTGAGGGAAGGTAGAGAGAAAAGCACGAATAACGAAGAACTAACAGGTGAAGATTTGGACGAAGAATAGATCTGAAACACTGCGAGAAGTATACAGTGCACTATGTAAATATCGTCTAGTCTGATTACTATATGCCAATCACCGCACCATACCATTAAGCCGTGCCACCTACATCTACACCCCAGCATCAGCATCATCCCCTGCCTTTGCCCTCGCCCTAACCTTCATATTAACCATCATGATAGTCTCAACCCAATCCCTCCCCACATTCTGCTCAACCTCCAGACGCTCCTGCAGCTTCTGGATACGCTTATCAGACTTGGCCTGGCGACAACGCAGGAAGTGGATCGTCTTATTCTTGTCCTGAAGCTTAGCCCAGATCAAGTTGTCGACGTCTTCTTGAGTCGGGGACTGCACATGGGCAGCTTCCAAGGAGAGCTGGTGTTGCTGCTCTTCGGAATGAGCTAGTTGAGCATGACGATCGGTAGCTGTACTTTGTGCTCCATCTGGTTGCTCGAATCGCGGGGCCTCACGCTCAGCACCCGTGTCCTGTGATTCCGCCAGTTGCTCGGTTAAAGCCTGGAGCTGCAGTCCAAGAACCTGAATAGTCTCATTCGCAGCTTCAGCATTGAAGCGAAACCTCTCTTTCAGCTTCACAAGTTCTCTCTCCTTCGCCGTGAGCGCTTCAGAGGTTTCCTGGAAGAGCAATTGATTGAGTTCAGACTGCTGCATCAACTCTTGGTTGCGGTTTTGTAGGCGAGTGTTGGTCGCAGCCAGGTTGTCGTTGTCCTGACTCAAGGATGCGAGAGAGGGCGCGAGGGAAGGCGTAGCAGAGCTTGTCGGTGAGCCCATGACGGAGTCGTTGCGACGGAACCGGCTGAAGAAGCCGGCTTGTTGGGGCTTACATGCTATTGAAGCGGACATGATGCTGGGTTCTCGGGTGGGCGTGATAGAAGTCGAGGGATTTCTGCGACGTAAGACGCCGAACAAGTGATACCGAGATGACTACAAAGACTCTGGGATCGAGCCTGTTGCTGCTACTCTGGAAGATGTATGCGGTACTTTGAGGTATAGTTTTATATAGAAGCATGTAGGACATATTGCATTCACAATGTCAAAATCACAAAACCACGAAGACACCACTGTACACACACTAAGAAGACATAATATGCGGCACACCACGCGATGGAATTTGATGCCGGAAGGGAGACATCTATCTAAAAAAAAAAACCACAAAAAAAAACTCAGAGGGGGAAGAGGAAACAAGACGGGGAATCAGAATAGTACCAAACCACCCAACCCATCTTCAAACATCTTTGAAGATGCCAGACCAGAGTTCCTCTCCAGGCCGAAGCACAACCCTCTTGGCGGGCACAATGTGCGTCTGCACAAAGATCCCGTTCACCTCATCCGCCATTTTCTTGCCGAGGATTTTCAGCAGGGCGTTGTTGGTGGTCTCCAGATCTTCGATCTGGGCGGCCGCAGCCGACTTCTCTTTCATCAGCAGCTCGACGAGGTGCTGGTACTGTTTCTCGATACGCCTGAGCGCATCAGCGGCGGGGCCGGCGGCGAGAGCGGGGTGCTATACAAGTAACTTTGTCAGTGCTGATACGAAAATGACAGAGAGGCCGGGAGGTACTCACGTCGCTGGCCGTGAAGATATCGAGCTCGGTGGCGACGATGTCGGCGTCATGCTGACCTGGGAGGTTGGTCTGGTGGGACATATTAGTATATGTAGTAGTTTCGGTGATGTTTTGCAGAATGTTTGTGAGATGTGGAGAGGATGTAGTCTGCAAAAGAGGTTCTGGCGGCTGAGGAAATAGGAAGATGGGAGGCGGTTGGGCAGTTTATATGCTACGCAAAAGATGGGATGGTGATGGTGAATGAGGAATTAGAAGTCGAGGTGAAAGAGAAATGGACTCTCGAAGACGGTCAATTCGGGCTATACAGAGCTATTATGCTGTGCTCTCTTGAGCTATTCGTATGCCTATTCGTCTTCACCTACGGCTCTTGTCTTGTTCACTCGTCCTCCTTCCCAGTATGTATTCATGCGCCCTTCTGTACCAGCTCTGTGACTTGTTGTTCGATGGCCTTGTCGTCCAGGCCCTTCAGTGACAGCTTCCGCTCCTTTCCGAAGTCTACCTCAAATTATTAGCATCGTTCTCGTATGTCCGTGGTGAGTGTAACGCACCGAATCGCGCATATACGGTGGGCTGGGTGTTGCTGGCTTCGCGGATCATAATGGGGATGGATGGGTTGGCCTTCTTCATGGCGGGGTAGCTTCGCATGAGGAAATTCCTGTCCAGTCGGTCAGCGCGGTTCGCTCTATCCTGCCCGTCCTGTCTATCCCGCTCTTGTGCAATGGCGTGCGCGTTGGGTTGCGCTCCTTCACTCGGTTGTCGCATACCTTGTCGCGGCGCTGTGCTCGCTGGTCTGGCAGAACAGGAACCTCAGCTCCTTGAGGCCGTTTGCGAATGCTTTTGACGCCATGGTAAGGACCGGTACTGGTGTGCGGGGGTATCAATCGGTGTCTGTCGTCACTGGGCCGGCAGCGACATTCAATGTTCGTCAAGCTGCCAGGCGCACGCCTTACCCAAACGGGGCTAAAGCAGTCGGAGCGCCCCCATCGATAGTCCCGGATTTATCATCTCATGCTTGAGCCCGACATCGCGACGGCTCTCGCACACGACACTCGCCAAGGCCTCGACCTCGCTCTCGACGCCCCAATTCCTTGTCCCAATCGAATCGCCGACCTCGAGAGTCCAGGACACAGCTCGCCATCATGTCGTTCCGCCCCGGCTCCCGCATCTTCAGCTCCTTCCGACCCTTCTTCCAACGCGCAAATGCCCGCCGACATGCTTCCACGGCGGGCGCTGAGCCCGCTGGCTTCCAGAAGTTCTGGAACAGCCCCATTGGTCCCAAGACAGTCCACTTCTGGTACGCTGCCTCGACACCACCTCCCTCTCCACCCGCAATGCGCTGCCAGCTCCCCGCACTCTCCGAAGCGCATCCGCATCCGCAGCAGCAAACACCCACCTCCAAAGCCCACCCCACCACACCCAAGCCATCGCCCAAATGCTAACATCCCAACAGGGCCCCAGTAATGAAATGGGGCATGGTCCTCGCCGGCGCCTCCGACTTCTCCCGCCCCGCCGAATCCCTCTCCTTCACCCAGAACTTCGCCCTCATGTGCACAGGCGCCATCTGGACTCGCTGGTGCTTCGTTATCCGCCCCAAGAACGTCGCGCTGGCTGGTGTCAACTTCCTCGTCTTCTGCGTCGGTGCCACACAAGTCGGTCGCATTTACATGTACAACAAGAGTCTGGAGAACACCGAGGGTCAGGCCAAGGGCGAGATGTTGGATGTTAAGCACACTGCTGAGAAGGCGGAGAAGAAGGCTGAGAAGGCTCTGAAGTAAATTACGACTGGGTGAAGATAGGGTTGAGAGGTTGGAAAGTGGATTCCCCGGCTGGAAAGCTAGGCGTTGTGTGCGGGCAGATGGGAGGACTGAACGAGCTGGATGTATATCTACTACGGAATCGTGTTGGAGCATATGCACCAGCGTGTTATTATGACAATGATTCTTTTGCTTTAAGTAGCAAACAAAGAACGATCAGAATCCTTCAGCACTCGAAAGTTTCGCGTGTTCAGATTTTTTTATAGCTCTATGGTCTGTCTTGCATGCTAACCATGACTCTCCACTGAGCGATAGACATGTCGGGTCAGGAGCATGCTCTTTCTCAGAGTCGACATCTGTAGTATCTAACGCGTTGCTAGGGTACAGTGTTCCCGACAGACCGAATGACAGCAGCGCGCAAACGCACAGGTCCAGCCCAGAGCTGTTGTTGCATCCTGTCTCATCTCCTCCACTTGCGTACCTTGTTCTTCACCCCAGCACCCAGATTACGCATGAACGTGTAGCAAGAAGATTCCCGCATGAGATCGCGGAGAGATTTCTCCTCCCCGCAACGCGTAACCTCCCCATCCTCATTGCTGCCATCGACACCGGACTGTTCGGGCTGTAGGAGAGCAACTTCATCGGCATCGCTGACTTCGAACAGCGCGTCGGGGCTGAAGATGCTGAGTAATTCCATCTCTAGGTCTCGTTCAACATCTCGCTCTTCAGCCGCTCGACATTCCTCGACCAGTTCATCTCTCTCCCACCCTTCAAGCGGCAAAAGAGCATGGTGAAGATCAGCGCAGTGTTGCGAAACCACGCCGTCAGGATCACGCGGCTCGATCACAGGAGATGGGTGTCTGAGAGATCCTCCGTGTCTGGGCGGGTCGCGTGCCCGTGCCTCGAGCATGAAATTGAGATAAAAGGCTTGTTTGACCATGACCATACGAGGTACCCTCTTGATAGCATCGGCGGTCACCACGGACGGACTAGGTGCTACGGGTTCCCTGCGGATGCGGTTGGTGTACCTTCGGAATCTGCTTGGAACGTGTATGCGGGATCGTGGAGGTGGGATGAAGGATTCCTGTCGAGAATTGCGGACTGTGCTGAGCGAGTCAAGGCTGACTGGAGGAGCTGCCGGCCATTGTGTATCGTCTGCCTGGCCTGATTTGGAGGTGTATGGTGCCCAGTTTTTGAGTAGACTGACGACGCTGTCGTCTCTGGATTTGGTCTTCGAACTCGAGCGACCTTTGAAAGAACCCTCATCAGTCGTGATACTGTTCCTAGGTCTCAGGCTTTCGTCATCTGAATTATCAGATTCATCGCCATCCTTTATATCGCTCAACACTCGTACGAGTCCGCGGCCTATTCTCAATCAGCCCCAATACGGCACGTCAAAGTTGAGTTATACTGACCGTGAGGACGTGGAGCAGGAGGTTTCGCTGGTACGACTTCTGGTTCACGATTCCAGATAAAGTTGTATTTACAAGTCCTACAAGTCTGAACTGCGTGTCCGGAGAACTGGTATACCGTCGCTCCACAATTAGGACATATCCTACGGTCCATGTAGAATCTGCCACAGCCGCGCATATGGCGAGCTCGCCGACCTGCGTTCCCAGCCATGATTGGGATGTCGATTGACCCGTAGTCTGTATGCTATGTGTCTGAAAAGGTAGGTGCACCTGCTGTGGATGATTTTGCGAGGAAAAAGCAAAGCGCGAATACTTCAAGTGCTGCTCTAATGACTGGATGCCGGTGGGTGAGGATGAGACGAAATGACTGCTGCATCACATTAGAACAGTCCCGAACTAGGCCATGCTCTGCATACCTTTGATGATGACGCCGTTGAACCCCGATGCCAACAGATGATAGCGATAATGCTGTAGCGATAGAGGCAATGGCCGATAAGCGGATAGTTGTGGTGGAAGAGTATAGCAGATGCCACTTTGAAGGTCAAAGACCATCAGCGTGGCATTTTGCACGTGCTCTACGTTCCTGGGAGTCGCAATGGCGAGTGCTTTCTGTCGTGTCGGCGGGTTGGCATGCATCCAAGGTAATCGCGTTCGAGCAGCGTGCGAAGCTCTGCAGGCACGCTCCCACCTTTCTCTCAGCCATCCACCTCTTTTACATGTGCTTGATGCCAGACTTCGGTTCGCCATATTCTGGTTCTGCGATGACCCATAGACCCCTAACGAACCACTCACGAATCCAATCATTCAGGTCGATACCCCAACAAGAGCGGGTTTGTTGAATGATAAATACCGCAAACGTTTGAGGGGTCTTCCTCTTTCTCCCCTCTTTCCATGTTTCCGCGTCAAGTGAATGCCTTGCAACACCCAGCACAGCATTCGCCACAGCAGTCTCCACAATTACTACACGCATCGCCAAAACAACTTGACATACTCGCAAAACACGCAATAATTGATTCGATGCACCAGGGGCCTGCCAACGTGCAATCGAGCCGCTGTATGCATCGTGTGCAGCAATCTTTTGGCTCGTCGTGCGCGGGTGTAAACTCCTCTGTCTCTGGGTTCATTGGGGCGTAATTCATCTTGGATGCGGGGAGAGAGTGGCGACTGCTGGATGAGTTTTGGTGGTAGAGGGTCGGTGCTGAACGCAGGAGGAAGGAAGGATGATGTAAGAAGAGACCAGGTGAGCTTGTAAGTCAGGGACGATGATGTATTCTTGTCGACAGCAAAAACAAAGTAAGATAGAGTGATAATTGACACGTCGTAGATATATATTCCAACGTGATAAGAGCCTTGGTGAGCGGTGTTCGAAGTTTTTGATTTTCGACCCGCGAAGTCCAAACGCGCTTCGCGTGAGATCAGGCACGCCAGGCCGCCCACAGACACACAGCCCGCCCCCTCGGCTAGCAGCACGTGGCTGTGAGCGCCGCCGATCTTGCTAAGTGAACTCAGGGTATGCAAACACAGCCTCTGCAATCGCACCGTTATCATCGAAATAGGAGACCTGCGGTCTAGGAGTGAATGCGGTGGCTGATTGCGAACGCGCGCAAATAGTGGATACACGTTATTTTCGTCTCACGCGAATCCCAAATCAGTAACGGACGTGGCAACAAATCATGGGACATGGGCAATGGAGAGTAACAGTAGTATTCATTCACAATGTGGGTATCTTGTATGCGCGCCCGCAATAATGGCCTGTAGCAAAACTAACCCCCCAACTCCGTGCCCGGAGGACAATGTGACAATTTGAGAAATGTAGCAAAAACTCCAGTGCTAGCGTGAGTGACAAAGTAGTCACGCGGCAGCCTATACTCTGATCACGATGTGGATGCCTAAACCTCTGGCCTCGCGAATGGAGCACCCCAAGCAAGTCCTTCCTACACGACTCACGATCGCATGAAGGCCCTTTTCTGCGCACCAGGCTCGTGCGAGCAACTGAAGATCAGACGAAGCCCTGGCATCTAGTACCAACACAGCCTTCTTGTTATTCTTGATTGTCTCCGCTGTGTCGCTGTCGTTGCTGCGCGACAGATCAAGTAGGCGCTCCGTAGATTTGGACGTGTGAAGCTCGAACGGCAGTAAGAAGTCAGAATCCAGAACATCGGTGACTGGCACAATATTGTAGGAGTACGACTGGTGAAGAGGATGCGCGTTCATTGGCTTGCTGCTAGTCGCAAGCGTCTCGACTTCTGGTCCGGTAGATGCTTCGTACATCCGCTTTGGCGCAATATCTGCAGCGTCCGGGGGGTGCGATAGGAGCGGCTCAAAGCCGTGACTGTTGCGACGTGAAAGAGTTACGCTGTGTTTTGAAGAGGATCTCGAAATTGTTCCGGTGCCAGAGCGCCTTAAGACCTTAGGGCGATGCGTGAACGAGGGAGGCGCAGACGCAGCTGTGGTGCAAGGGAAAGAAGTGACAAACTGAACATCGTATGTCAACGTGATGGTGTGGCTCACTGCATCTCCTCTGGAGACAAATGTCATCGACGGGGCATGGATGTCACTTTCGGTCGGCGGTCCTGTCAAGCTGTCACCGTCGATGAGATCCGTGTTGATTGGTACCAGTTCCCACTGTGAGAAGAACAAGGAGGGAGCCAGGTACGAATCAGAATCCTGAGGAAGAACAAAGTCCTCAGGCCTCAACGAAGCTAGAGAAACGACTGGCGCGATAGCTGACTCTTCGGCGACTGTGTCAGAACCGTCTCTTGGTCGCAACCGGTTCTCGTGCGGAAGCAGTTCGCTGTGAATCGAGTACCAACGGTCGGCAGGGCTGTCGGGCAGCTTTGGACATGAGATCCAGCCCATACACTCTGTAGAGCCTTTGGCACACGCCAGAATACGCCCAACAACGGAAGCTTTGCTCCAAAAGGTTCTGTCGCCAAAGGTGAATCCGCCGTACAAATTTGCTGATTCTCCCAGGTTGGCAATAGCGTTGCTGTCATTCTCGAGCATGGTCGACACGAGGAAGTGTGAGATAGCTTCTCCGGGGAGCACAAGACCAGTCAGATAAGACCGACTCAGCCACCCTCCGATATTGTAGCTGGACGTGGCATCGTTTTCCAAGATGGTCGACACGGGAGAAAGTGGCATGCGTAAGGCACGAGAGTTGTTGCGATTCAGAGCGGGCTTCCCGATGTGGCCGAAGTAGCTGTCCAGCTGTTGACCGGAAGCGAGGGGTGTTTGCAGTGGCGTACCGTATACACTGATGCCGGAAGGGGTGGCCATGTCGAGCAACCTTCCGCTGGGTGACGCTGGTGTGGGTTCTTCGATCTTGTGTTGCTCTCCAAGCTTCCGAGCTAAATCCGCCGAGACCACGTCAAGGCTAGGCCATTGCAGTGTCTTCGCAAAGTGAAGAAGCCCAGAGAGCTGTCTGGATTGATGCTGTGGGAGTATGATGAGGTCTGACTGCGGTATTTGGGCGTGAGCGCCTTGGCTTAGCAGTGACAGTAGTCCACGTAGTTTGGGTTTGGGTGAGACTGGCGCATCGCTGCCTCTCATGATGACGACGTTGTCGAGAAATCTCCGTGCGAGCACCAAATCCCAGTCAACCTTCCTCGTCTTGATCTTGAGAAACCCTTCGATATCCTTTGCGTCAATCCGAAGTCGGATCTCAGCGTCGGTCGCATCTGCATTCGTGAAGGCATCCAGTCGAAGCAGCAACTCGCAAGCCAAGGTGATCTGCAGTAATAATATCTCCCGTTCTGTCCATAGCGTTTGGTGATGATGCTCGGAGGTTGGCTCGGGTTCACTCCACAGTATTTGGCCAAGCCTTATCCTCCATTCGACAAGGCTGAAGTCGTACCAGACACCCTTCAGTCCCAACACCCTGAGTAGAGCCACGATTTGTGTCTGCAAGCCTGTAGGATCCGCAGTAGAGTCGTCGTAGCCCGGAGGGGTAAGGAACTTGGTGAATAGATTCGCGTACAGATCTCCAGAGCTTTGGTTGTTGAGAATTGTCATGGGCTCGGGGCTGTCTTGGAATGCCTCGTACATGTCCTGGAACTCAGCCAAGCGGTCGTATATCAAGTTCAAGTCCACCGGACGGATACCCAGTCGCTCAGGAGTTGCCTGCATGACGTCCTTATTTCTGGCCGACTCAGCGGAGTCTTGACTTGGCTGAGACTGGTCCAGCTCGCTGGCCAGCGTGTCAGACTTTGGTAACTCGAGGAAATGCGAGAAGCCAACAGTCCCCGTCTCGATACCCTGGGCACTGACCATGCTCGGCATCTCCACCACGTCCACCTGATAACCATTGTACTGTTTCGAAGTCTCGGGTAGCTGTCGGGTCTTGGATGGATGTTCGTGTAGGGTCGCGGCTGAGAAGGCGGGTTCGGCAAGTGGAACTGTATCGGTAGCTTCCTTGAGCACAGCATCGGCGTTCCAAGGATGAGTGACGGTTGGTATGTAGCGACTGCCTGTCTTTGCGATGCCAAACTGCGGGGCCCCAGCGAAGAGCGCACGAAGCTGGCCCTCACCAAGAGTCTCTAACTTGTCCTCCCTGGTCTCTTGCGGTGGTGTAGGTACGCGATCTGGCTCCAGTACTTCTACGGGCGCCATGCTTTCATGATCGACTGCGGCACTCGGTTCCTCTTGGGGTATCACATCGAGTGTTTGTGGAGGGGCGGATTGCGGGGCAGTGTTATCGTGCTTGGGCGGTGTCTTTGTCGGGAAGTTTGCTATCAGCTTCTTGATCATCGTGCGAGTATCGTGACGATAACACCAAAGAGAAGAAGCAGGTGACATACGGGTACAGCGACTTCACACTGACGCTGTGTTTGCTTCTGCTTGAAAGCCCTAAAGAACTTGAGGACGCGCTGCCTCTTGCTGTCCTTCCGCAGCAGCTTTCCGGCATTCTCGTCAACCATGTCGTGATGCAGTCGTCGCAGCATCGTGGCGGCCTGCAGCAGACAGGCGAGGCATACCGGCGGCGGACATTATAAGGGGATAAGGGGACGTCAACAAAGCTCAGCAGGCTGGGCGCGACACAGGCTGCACACATGCAAGTCAAACATGGCAGTCATCCCTGCACTTACAGGCGCGCACGTCTCGATGGTTGGTGCGAGGCCGCTGCCGGTCCCTGTCCCGCACACATCACCCAGGCCGATCAGACGAATCCACGGATGACGTCCAGCCTATCGCCCCGCTTAAGTGGCCCTGCATCACCTGCACCTCTCACGCCAGACACTCACATTCCTGCTAGCAGCGCGCCACTGCGCCTACACGACGTGCCTACATCAATCAAACACTCGCAGCCCATTTGCACTGTCCACGCCGTCGTCTAAAGGCCGTTGTCTATGACGCTATATCGGTCCGCTCGCCTCCAGGTTCCAAGTCCTGTTCAACGGGCCCGTGCCAAGCTTCTAGAACATGGACCCGGGTCGGTCATTTCCGCGTCTCTAATCTTATCGCCTCCACGAGCAACTGCATCGCATTGTATACGACGCTGCTCTATATCTACGGCAGCAGTGGTCCGAAAGACCTCTCTGACCTTGAGTTGGCCTTCGTCACTGTGCCAGCAAGACAGAGCCACAGTCGCGAACCTCCAACAACATTTACTAGGCATCGTTCATGCCCCGTTGGGCACGATTCACCCCAATGTTTCATAACGATCGATGTCCAACTTGGCCAATGGGAGATTGAATGGACCATAGACTTACAAGAATTGTCGTACGACTTAGCCTTGTGGATACGTAGTGCGCAAGGTATCGTTCTTGGTTCTTCTTTTATGCGAGTAGTGCATTGTCGTTCTGTGACAACTTCCAAAGTTCATTAATATTGTGCAAACAGTCTTCCGTATACAGCTTGTGGTTACTACAACCTCTGGCTTCTGCGACTAATACCAGCCATTGAGACTGTCGTCTCGCCAGCAATGGCCTCCATGCGAGGACCCTGCATGTTGTGGTGTCACACAGCAGCCCCTCCGCATTCACCTATCCCACGCTAGTGCAAACAATGATCCCCATCACCCAGCAACACTGAGAACACTGTGCGCGACACCACAAACACAAGCCGAATCATAATCTCCGACAAAATGGGATTGCTTGAAGACGCGCGAAGACTCGCCGACACCTACGGACCAGAGGCGGCGCGACATGTAGCATCTGCTGCAGACAAGGCATGGACACACGGTAGCGCTTTCGGCCAAGAGGTAGCAAAGCGTGCTGGCCCAGTCGCTGCAGATGCGAAAACTCATCTTAACAGACTCAGCAACGAAGCTGGCAAGCATGCTGCTCCTATCGCCAGCAGTGCCTCGAAGCATGCTATGGAACTCGCCCGAGCCGCTTACAACAGCGGCAAACAAGGTCTACAATCCATACCGCAACTTCCAGGTGGATACATCAACGAGGAATACGACTGGAACTTCATCGCACAATTTGGCGAAGACATGGCGAAGCATCTTGGCAGTACAGCAGGCGACTTCTGGGAGAAACTAGGCAGCGGCGACATCCTCCATGACATTGGTCAGGCCGCTATCCCGAATATCGAGTTCACCAAAGAAGATCTCTCGGGGTTCAGTGAGAGGCTCAAAGAATGGGTTCTCGCCAATCCTAAACAGTTCTCCACCTTGTTGGCCTGTGTTGCCTCGGGCCCCATCGCTCTTGCTGTCACACCAGCCATGCTGGGCCTTATCGGATTCACACCCATCGGTATCGCTGCCGGTATGTATCAACCACTCATCATATCTCCGGACTGACTTATAACATATGAAATAGGCTCCATGGCCTCTGCGTTTCAGGCAGGCGTCGCTCCCATCGCTGCAGGTAGCGCTTTTGCCATTCTTACCAGTGCTGCAATGGGAGGGTATGGGCTTGCGATTGTCCAGGCGTTTGTCATGGGCTCGAGTATGACAGGAACTTGCGGTGTCGCAGCTCTGGCGTTCTTGCAAGCTGTTAAGGAAGACGAACAGTGTAGGAAACTGAAGACGGAGTAAAAACAACGTTCAAGAAGAGAGAGCCCCAAGAACGGTATAATGAAGAGATGATGTGGTCTGTATGAGCATTCATTACTTCTCCAATAGTATATACCTGGCCCGATGGCCACATCGTAATCAGCTAGAATATCAGCTCGAAAGGGCTTAACAGCGGAATCAACGATACATGGACGACTGCGCCTTGTTCGCCCCATCTAACTCCAGATCAGCCCTGTTCCCATCGTGAAGCTCGTACACCTATCTCAACGTTAGCTCAACATCCCTTGCCGCGTTAGCATTCCGACATACCGGTTCCTGATGCGGCATCTCAGCCACGTGGTGGTACCCTTTGGCTGAATCCTGCTTCTGCCTCTCTTCCGCAATCTCGTTTTCAATCTCCCGGGTCTTCTGCTTTGACTTCCGTCTTCGCAGTAGAATAGTCACTGCAATACCTAGCAGAGCACCGACTCCAGCGCCGACACCTACGCCGATACCGATGTTGCGTCCCGAGTTCGATTTGCCCTCATCCTTCTGCTCTTCGTTCTGGCCGGACAGGTTCGCTGCGTCGGACGATGGCGTGGGTTCCTCGCCCGTTCCCGTCCCCGTCGCTACGGGTGCTGCACTCCTAGTTATCGTGCTCCCGATCGAAGAAGCCGTGCCCACACGTGAGGAAGCCGGTCCAGCACTTGGCGATGCCAGCCCCGCACTCGCAGAAGCTACTTGCTCGCCTCCGAGTTCCTTTGGAATCCTGATTCTCTTTGATACCAGCGCATCAGCGGAGGCCGAACAGCATGCGTTGCTGTCTCCACAACACCAGTACTCTGATTTGGCTGTTCCGTCGCAAGGCGTCAATTGTGAGACGGAGTCTGCTAGATTCTAGTCGCTTGTTAGCTCTCTGAAACTAGGCCACCCAGCCACATGCATAGCCACAAACGGGGAAAAGCAACATACCCCGTCTCTGCAGACATCCAAGCAACCCTCCCAGTTCGCATTCGCACAGTAAACCCGGTAGAAATGCGTCCATGGCTCTGCTTCTTGTCCAGGTGCGCTGCTGAAGCCTCTGTTCTGACACAGCCCGTTCGGCATGCATTCATCCGCTGTAGGGCCGTTTATAACATCGCCGCCCGGTGGGTTCGGCCATTGCGTTTGGCAGCATGTGTTGTAGAGCGGGGAGCCAGATATGGAAGAACAGCGCGAAGTTCCTTCGTCCTGGTGCGCGGTGCCGTTGGGGAGGAAGCAGGTGGGCGTGCTGGACGGGAGCGACGCTAGGAGGAGGAGAAATGTTGCAGATATCGACGCTTGCGACAACATGCCGGGCATCGAGTATGCGGACTGTACTCCGCAAAAGTTGTTTTTGTCACTGTCGACGAGACGAAAGTTAAGGTGGAGAGAAGCGGGAAGAGAAGAGTCTGAGGAGCGATCTGAGCGGAAATACACGAACGAAGCTCCCACTTCTTTCCTTGCACTGCCTGATCGTGATGCGAATAAGGCAAACCATCGAGCTAGGGTCATCCCGAATTAGCGTTGGGGTCGAGGGGCCGCGAAATTAAAATTGGATACCGTCCCGTCCCCTTTCGGGTAATTTCCACAGCTCATCAGCGGCTTCAACCGTTGAATTCCGTTAGATGATAATGTCAAAGTGGGTTGTGGTCGCCGACCGTTACGGCGAGGTAAAAATATACATTGAACGACTGTAGACTGTTGATGATAAGAAGCATGAACGAAAGGATGGGGTATCTTGCACGTGCTGTAATGAAGGACAAAATCGCAACGCCTATCACAAAAGGAAATTATCTGTCTCGAGCGGAATCCTTCCGACTCTGCAAACACCAGCTCGTTCATGTCTGCCGACTAAGCAGCAACTCCACCGCTCGGTCGACCCTCAATCCGTCTCCTAGATCGGTTAACCTTAGCGCCTCTCGGGCCTGCTCGGCTGTGAATCCCATCTCGACAATCCGCCATATGGCCTTATCGGCCGTGTTCTCATGACTCCGAGATCCATAGATGTGGTGTTGTTGTTCGTGCTGTTGGAGGGCTCCACCTCTGGGAGTGGAGCTTCCGGCAGATGACTGACTACTACTCTGACGCATGTGGCGGCCACGGTAAGGCATTGACATGGGATGAGGGCGGAATGCGGGGTGAGGCGGTCCGGGTGGTTCGGACAGAGGATGATGTAATGGATCCTCGAGGATAGAAGGCATAGATGTGCCTGTGCTGTAGCGATGCCAATCACGACTGTTTGTCGCCGTGGAAGCGGAGGGTGTCGGCAGAAGCGGCTGAGCAAACATGCGCCGGGGTGGAGAGCTTGCGCTTGATACACTGCCCATGGTGTATAGATCGCGGTTGCTCTGGACTGTTGTGACCGAGGGAGATGGTAGAAGGGGCTGAGCAACCGTTCGACGTGGCGGTGAGGGTGTCCGTTCCCTGATAGGTGCTAGGATTGACGAAATGCTATGTCGATCATGGTTACTAGGAACTGTGGAGGGGGGCGGTGATGGGAGCAGAGGCTGAGCCACAGTTCGCCGAGGTGGTGAAGCTGTTCTGCTGGATGTCGACCTCGATCTAGGAAGAGGCACAGATGTCGGTATGTCCTCCACAGAAGATGATCTCAGTGCCGGAACATGAGTGATGATGTCCTTTCCCGGGCCTTGTGGTGGTAGAGGAGGGCGTGTCAAGTTTCGAATCACAGTATCCCAGTCTGACATGGGTCTTTCCCTGAGAACCATTGGTCGTTGCTCACCATTCCTTTTGCGATCCTTGAGTTCGTCAATGTGTTTCTGAATACGTATCTTGGACTGTTGGCGCTGCACGTCGCGGATTGAGATCTTAGCATAGGTATGCGCAATCTTGTCTTCGTAGACGCGTCGGGCTGCTTCTTTGAGGAAGTATTGTCGTGTACCGTCAAGCACAGGAGGCTTCCAGTTGACCCATCCGTTCTCCGCCGCAATAACAAAGGCTTTGGGATCCGAGGGGTGGAACGGGCCAGTGAGCTTGAGAACAGTGTCAAGGCCAAAGGTGAGGAGGTGGTAGATCCATTCGTCTGGTCTGGTTAGCAAGATCCATGATTATGCAGCGGATAGACGAACCAAGCATCATCTCCTCGCCATCAATATCGCCACCACGAATGTCGGTGTTGTCGTAAATACCGGCTTGTCGGGCTTGAACTGTGCGCCCTTCGAAGTTTTGTAGCAGGACGGAAAGACAGGTCCATAGTTCCATCATGTCGAAGAGTTGCTCGGCGGTAAGGCCGCCTTCGTTCCCTTGCCCGAAGCACTCAGGTGCACCGACCAATGTGTCGCTCATGAGGTCTGTGCTCATCATGCTGAAGGTGCAGGTCGCCTGATGGACAAGCATACCACCATTGAGCCAGTCCATCTGCGCAACAATGTCCTCCTCACGTCCTTTTCCCGAGCCAAACAGCTTACAGAATGTCCATATGCGCCATAACGCATCGTCAACCCTAGCAGACTCGGCTGGGCAGGCGCTCATGAGCGCAGCTGATATCTCTGGTCGTACGAAGGACTGGCATTTCTCCATAATCTCCAACTTGATTGTGCGGATGACTTGGATGTCTCGCTTCTGGAGCTTGAGATATGAAGTTGGGGTGTACTCCTCTGCAGGTCGTGTCGTCTCAAGGTCTGCTGCAAGTAGAAGTTCGTGTCCAGGAAAGGCGATCTCTCTAAACTCCCAGGCTGGTGGTGACATCTTTTGCAAGGTAGATTTGATGAGATCGAGTTCATGACGTTTGAACACACGATAGAAGCCTCGGTTGATGGAGGCTGCGGTGAAAAGATCGTTGAAGTGATCTAGATGTTGGAAGATGTTGAGTATGACTTTCTCAGCTCCGTCAGACGTAATGGGTGGTTTGGTGGTTTTGGTAGAAACAGCTCGCGGAGAAAACACCAGGTCCACACTGGAACGCTTGTATTGCGGAATCATAAGTGTCAATGTTCTGCTCGTGCGAAAGGACTTTCGCTTCAGCTGTGAAGCGATATGGTCTCGCGGTAGACGGTTGACTTCAACAGTCGTCCTGGCTGCCAATCGCCGCCTGCTGGATTTACGCGGGACAGCCGGAGGAGGATTATCAGGCAGTACAGCATTAGCGAAATCTCTTCGGGGCTGGCCTGTAGTATCAATAAGCTTCCCGTCTCCAGCTGACGCCTGACGCATGCCCCTCCAGGAAGGGTTGCGTTCTGCAAGGGGCGTCCCATCCTGGGCAAGCATGCGAGGATCGCTGTTGCTGCCAAACGAAGAAGCCAGTTGAGCGTGCAGGTCGGACTCAGCCTCGCTCAACGTAGGGCTGGACGCACGTGGAGGGATTGGAAACGCTTCAGTTCCAGAGGGTTTCGCCTCGTTGATCATGCCCATACTTGCATCCGCAGCTAAGTTCTGCCGCGGACCGCTCCGCTTTGAGGACCTTCGGTTCAATCGTGGCTTGCTCTGAGCTACATGGAGAGCACAAGTTGGTTGGAAGGGGAGATTCTCATCGCTAGAGGACGGGTGGATGTATTTTCGGGGCGCTATCGACGGCGGTGCATGGGATTGGCTCCCGTTGAAAGATAGGGTGAGCTCAGAGCGAGCATGTAGAGTACCTCTAGGCGCCAGGGTCTGGCCACTCGGAAGATGCGCTGAAGGTTGGCAGGTGCTTCCTTGTGTCGGAGATTTATCGACCTCCACGCTAGTCTCTGAAGAGTGGTTGCTGTGCAGTGATGAAGCATCGCTATCTTGCGACTCGTTACACGAACTGTTAGACTCGAAGCTACTCTTGAATTGGTTCGGTGTGTATCGCGTATTCACTGGAGCGGTTTGGCGGATTGTGTGCTGTGTTTGCGGATGCGCAAGTGGAGATACAATGGAATCTCGTATGCGATGGTGGCTTGCTGACGGAGGCGAGACCTCGTGGTGGCTTTCGAGATCGGTAGGGCCCGTTTCGAGAAATGGAAGAGCGGGCAGTGGCTTTCCACAAGGGATTACCACTTGTATCTTAGGCTTCGCAGCCGGATATCTGGCCCCGCTCGGAATGTTCTTCTTGTGCTTAGTGACCGTTTTGCGATTCTTCTTTCGCCATTGGATTTTGCCGTGCTTATATGTGCCGATGGTGCCTACAAGCGATGCGTGGCTTGATGCCGACAGTCCACCTGCAGTATTACTGGCTCCCGTTGCGACCACTGCCGAAGCAATGCTCTTCCGTCTCCTACCCCAGATAGATGTTGATCTTGAAGGCAACGGTACGCCCAAACCTGCTGACGACGGTCGGTTGCCGTCATTGCCGTCCCTGCGACCCTCGGTCGCTGTGTTGTGATTGTGAGAGGGGAGAGCCGCATCGTCTTTAGTACTTTCTGGAACTGCGCGTAAGATGGTAGCTGACTTTTTCGGCTTTAGCTTAAGTAACGCTGACATCCTTCTCTTCAGTGCGCCAGGTGAGGCTGATCACTCAGAGCAATGTGTCAACATGGGCAGGTGGGCTTGAGCGGGTCGATTAGTGACGTATTAGGCTGCAGAAAATGTACGAGTAGCAGTCTGGAGTTGCTGAGGGTGAGTAGTTGGATAAGGGATCTCCCATCGAAGCCGTGACTCGGGCATGGTGGCAGGGCATGGACTGTATATCGTCCGAAGCCAAGATAATCATAACCTAAGGCACTGCTAGACACCACCGAGCTCCATGAATAGCCCGGCCGTGGCGTTCCGCACAGAAGATGCATGCAGCGCCCGGCGAAAGCTGAGCTGAGTGAGATGAGATGGAGGCCAACTCCGAGTGGGCGGACAGGACAGCATGGGTGGGCAGGCGGGCGAAAACCCAATGACGCACGCCCCCGGGACATATACGGCTCCTCATTGCGCAATAAACGTTATCACAAGGATGCGTTGTAGTGAGGCATAGCAGTGGGGAGCAATCAGAGACATCCAAGGTTGTTGTGTTTTGGCGCTGGGGCCGTGCTATTTGCGGCGCGACTGCTTGCTCAGCCCTGGTGCCGCACTAATTTGGGGCCATTGTGCCGGACACGACGTCCGCCTCGAACTACTCTATAAGCACTGCGCCTTATTGATGCACCAGGCACACCTCATGTATGTCGAAACCCCACGGCACCGTGCATCGAATTCCATCTCGTTTCAGCTTCTCGACCCCAACATCACTGATCATTTGCATCTGCCTGGTCCTTGGACGACTAGCGGTGATCCAAGGTTCGCTCTAGCTGTGACCATGACGTCGCTGACGTCGCACTGCAAGGAGCTGTGTTGGCCTTACCAGGGTGAGGCTGTTGGCTACACAGAATATCTTCAACCGAAGCGGAATGATCAGAGACCTCTGG